ACACACACACACACACACACACACACACACACAAACACAATTAGCTGGGCGTGGTGGCACGTGCCTGTAGTCTCAGCTGCTCGGGAGGCTCAGGCAGAAGAATTGATTGAACCCAGGATTGCTTGAACCCGGAAAGCGGAGGTTGCAGTGAGCCAAGATCGCGCCACTGTACTCCAGAATGGCAACAGAGCAAGACTCGGTCTCAAAAAAAAAAAAGAACCCCCAAAAAAGCAAACAGTTGTGTAGAATGAATCGCAAAATTAAGAAAAAGTCGCTGTAATCCTAATAACAATATAAAAAGGAATTAAAGTGCACATGTTCACAGAATGACATACTTCATGTATAAATTTTTTGGCTCACTCAAGGGTTTCACAACTTCATGTTGCAAGCATATAAATTTGTATATGGAGAAAAAGGAAAAACTTCGAGGTAGCTTAGGTTCATGAAGCTAGTTCTTGATACAGTGAAGTATGTCATCCCGTGAACATGTGCACTTTAATTCCTTTTTATATTGTTATTAGTGATTTTTCTTAATTATGTGATTCATTCTGCACAACTGTTTGCCTTTTTGGGGGTTCTATCACCATGCTATTACTGCAAACTGCGAACTCTTTTTAAAGTTCTTTCCTGCTTATGTTACCATTTTTCTTTTCTGGTCAAATACCAAATGGTGACTTATGAAACATTTCTGTGAAGACTTTTATTTTGACCTAAGCAGGAGGCCAAGATATAACATCTTCCAGGAATTAAGGATTGTTAAGAGCGACGAGTCGAGTCTCCACTTCTTAAACTTTGTTTCTCTCTCCTGGACCCTTCCGCCAGGCCATCTGCAAAGCGGAACCAGCTCTGGGACCACCACCTGCATCCACAAGGCCTCTCCAAGGTCCCCTCCTCCAGCTGGTGCCCTCCCCAGCGCCCTGCCAGCGCTTACCAACGCCGGCGGAATTCGTGCTTCTCTTCCTCTGTGGTGGCAAAAACCTTCTTTTTCCTCATAAAGCCTAACAACTCCCGGATCTCCTTCTCACAAGAGGCCAGAAGCGGGTTTTTCTCGTCCAGCGGCCCATAAAACACGGCTACGGGCAACGAGTCCTCGGGGCAGGTCCCCTGAAGCAGAGAGCACCGGGAGCTCCCGTTTGACTCCTTAATCACCGTGGAGGTCAGGAGCTGGGTCGACGGCAGTTCTGGCAGCAACCCCGAGGTGGTGGACTCGTCCGACGGAGAGTTCGAGGGGGCGCTCTGCGCCGCCATATTGACGCTCCCGGCAGGCCTGGAATGTCTGTGTGTACACGCGGTTGCCTGGCGACGGTCTCGTGGCAACCGAGCATCCCGCGTCCTTTCCGGGAAACACAGCGGCCCCTGGAGGGCAGAGTGAGAAAGAACCAGGTCCGGAAAGGAATGATGCTCCTTTGGAGGTATGTTGCCTGGTTGCACACTGGCACCAGTGTATGAAATGCGAACAAAGAACGTTCTGAGCAGAATGCCAGCAAATATTAGAGCCGAAAATTTAAGATCAAAAATCCAGACTCTTTATCCATGTTGGCCACTTAATAACGATACTGATGATGACCATGACCATTAACGTGTTTCAGGCATTAAGCATTTGAAACATGTACTTTCATTTATCTCATTTAATCATAACTACTTTACAACGTAGGTTACTATTAGTATATCCATCTCACAGTTTAGGAAACCAAGTCTCAAGGAGATTAAGTCATTTGACAAAGGTCAGAGTACAACCGTAGTGTCAGGGACCAGGTCCTCACCTTATGACTCCAAAGCCTGTGCTCAAAATGAAAAAGCTGTATTGATCACTCCCCAAAACAAGATTATTAATCAAATTGAAATTAGGGAAATATGTGGCAAGCAGTTTAAGAATCAAATACAGTTGGCCCTCTGAATCTCGGGTTCTTCATCTGTAGATTCAAGCAACTACAGATAGTAAATATCCCGAAAAAAATTAGAAATAACAATAAAACAATAACAATAACACAAAATACCATATACAGCTATTTACATAGCATATATACTATATTAGGTATTACTAGTTACCTAGAGATGATTTAAAACATCCTGAAGGATGTGCATAGGTTATATGCAAATACTACAGCATTTCATATCAGAGGCTTGAGCATCCACAGATTTTGGTATCTGTAGGTGTCCTGGAACTAGTCCCCCACAGATAGCCAGGGAGTACTGCCTATGTAACTGATCCAGTCTCTTTCCTCTATTTGTACCTTGAGGTCTGTAGCTGTGGATATGATGCCTGTCCCTCTAATAATTATGATATCTATTTATGCACATTCCAGCCTCACTTTAGTTATCTCTGTATTCTAAATTAATATGCATTTTGCTCAACCTTGAGCAAAGGACATTAATACATGCTAGTGGCTTAAAGTGTTAACTCTCAAAATACTTTGCATTTTAAATAGGGTTAGGAGACTTTACTTCTGATGGGGAAACTACAGGCCTCCAGAGAACTGCCTGGGGAGTTTATTCTTTCCCTGTTTATTATAGGCAATAGTCAGGGTTGAATTTATTAAAGTATGAGTTTTGAGCAAACAGAGAACCTTCTTTTCTTATAAATTATGCAACACCATAAATTAAGAGAAGGACCAGCAATATTTGGTGGCTTAGAAAAATTGGTCTTTAACCCTGAAAATTGTTACCAGTTCTATCACACTTAAATAAAGACAGTGACCCTAACACCCTGTGAGCCCAATTTTCCATTTCAGATAAATAAGCTTATTGGACTACAGCCTGATATCTTTAAGTCTGACCTAATTTCATGCAGGCTCTGTGGGCCTGTGCTAATTTGTGAGGCTGGCCTAATATGTCATGTCTATTCTGTACCCTAATATTCTTTGAAGGATATTTTGCTCATTGGGGCAGGTAATTATAACCAGAGAACCTTACTGGCAAATGGTGAGATGCAATGACACCTCACTGTAGGAGTCCAATTCTCTAATCAGGATATAGATATCATCCTTTGATCAACAAAGATTTTATCTTGTTCTCTAAGTGAGCAATGAAAATTTTAAGACTTTAAAGAATGTAGTCCCAGAGAAAGAATTCATCACTGGACATTTACAAAAATATTAATAGGCTTTTTTAAAAGTCAGCTTGGTAAATTCTCTTTTTTTCTCATCTTTTTCTTGTTCTCACATGGCAGACTTGTCCATTGCAGATCAAAAACTGGTGTAATTTGCCACTGAGTGCTATCTATTATATTGATGAAAGTGAAACAGCAGGATAAAATTAATTAAAGTGGTCCCAGAAGAGGAAAGAAAAAAGCAGAAGACAAAGTGGTGTTTTTCCCTCTAATCTGGATACTCTCACAAACTTTCTCATAGTGCAGACACTTACATTTCAAAGTCACCGGTAAAAGAAAATGTGACTAAGTAAATTGAAATACCTGAATTATGAAACATTGCATCTTAGTCACCTTCCTCCTTGCACGGACTAAAGCTAACAATACTTAACTTACAGTAGTTTTTGGAAACTTGTCTGAATATTTAAATGGGTGTTATATTCTGAATCATCATTATGATAAGATGGAAGATTACATTTTATTTAGTTTAAATTGAATTGGTTGGGTACAGTGGCTCATGCCTATAATTCCAGCACGTCGGGAGGCTGAGGTGGGTGGATCACTTGAGGTCAGGAGTTTGAGACCAGCCTAGCCAACATGTTGAAACCCTGTCTCTACTGAAAATACAAAAACTAGCCAGGCATGGTGGCACATGCCTGTAATCCCAGCTACTCAGGAGGCTGAGGCAGGAGAATCACTTGAAACCGGAAGGCAGAGGTTGCAATGAGCCAAGATCACACCATGGCACTCTGGCCTGGGCAACAGAGCAAGACCCTGTCTCAAAAATAAATAAATAAGTAATAAAAATAAAATAAATGGAATTCAAGGCATTTTTGACATTTTAGAGGTGTTATCTTCCTGGTAATTAGATGCAGCCATTATAATATCTTTTCTATTTTCTTGTCACTTTGCTTTTTTCTTTTCACTGTAATGAAAGAATGGAGCTGTGCAGCTACTGTGCCTGACAAGGCTAAGTAATTTAAATAGCAATTTACATTATTTATAAGGAAGCTATTTCTTATAATTATCATCTTTGCAGGCTGCAGGGATGCTTTTTGCCCATTCGAAAGTCTTTTTTATCTAAAGCTACTGACTGTTAAAGAATATGTAAGGTTAGTGCCCTTTCCATTCTTAATTTAGTTGTTAATCATTTGGACTATCCCAAATAGAAACAATATATACGGTCTACCTAATATACACTTTTTTAAACCTCTTCATCCATTTATTCAGATAAATGCAAGCATTTCTTTAGTGTCCATATAACGCATAGATAAATCCATACATTCCCTACAGGAAGCAGGTAACTCATACTCAAATAATCATGATAAAAAGGCATGCTATAGATTTGCTGGACATGGTGGCACATGCCTGGGGGCTCTGCTACTTGGGAGACTGAGGCAGAAGAATCGATTGATCCCAGGAGGCGGAGGTTGTAGTAAACAAAGATCATGCCATTGCACTGCAGCCTGGGTGACAGAGTGAGGCTTCATCTGGAAAGAAAGAAAGAAAGAGAGAGAGAGAGAGAGAGAAAGAAAGAGAGAGAGAGAGAAAGAGAGAGAGAGAAAGAAAGAAAGAAAGAGAGAAAGAGAAAAGAAGGAAAGAGAGAGAGAGGGAAAGAGAAAGGAAGGAAGGAAGGAAGGAAGGAAGGAAAAAGGCATGCTGTAGAATGTGCTGTGAGAAAGGTTTAAGAAATATGGGGCTGCCGAGTGTGGTCACTCATGTCTGTGATCTTGACACTTTGGGAGGCTGAGGCAGGAGGATTGCTTGAGGCCAGGAGTATGAGACCAGCCTGGGCAACATAGTGAGATCCTGTCTCTAAAAAAAAAACAAAAAAACAAAAACAAAAACAAAAAAAACTTTTTTTTAAGTACCCTGGCATAGTTGCATGCACCTGAAATCCCAGCTGCTCAAGAGGCTGAGGCAGAAGGATCACTTGAGCCCAGGAGTTTAAGGCCACAGTGAGCTATAATCACACCACTGTATTCCAGTCTGAGCTACAGAGCAAGACCTTTTCTCAAAAAAAAAAAAAAAAAAAAAAAAAAAAAAAAAAAAAAAGGAAAGGAGAGGGGAGGGGAGGAGGCTGGGATTGGGTGGGGGGCGGGGGGAAGACTGTGGGAGTTCTAAGATGAATCTCAGAACAGGAAAGAGAACAGAGAATTCTACAGGAGATGATGTTTTAGCCCTAGACTGTAAACGCCTCTCATTTACAGAAAGACCCTTGCAACAAGCATTTACCTTCTTACCATGGTAACCTAGCACCCAAGCCTGGCATCTGGCACAGAGTACAACTCAATACATCTTTGCTGGAATGAGTGAATAAAAAAAAAAAAAAAGATGAAGAACATTTAGAAGGATATGGCTAAGAGAAAGGCCTGAGTAAGGAACAGAGCCATAAACACACACAGCAAGCTGAAATAAACAAGCTGTCTAGTGTGGTGAGCCACAGGCCTGCCATCGATCTGGAGGCAGAAGATGAGCAGAAAGGGAGGTGCGATCAAGTACAATGGGTAGCTGGAAGGTATGTGAAGTAATTTTGACTTGGTTCTGTAAGGAGAGAGGTTTCGTAGTTTTGTTTTTGAGACGAAATTTCACTCTTATCACCCAGGCTGGAGTCCAATCGTGAAATTTCCGCTCACTGCAACCTCTGCCTCTCCAGTTCAAGTGATTCTCATGCCTCAGTGTCCCGAGTAGCTGGAATTACAGGCCTGCACCACCATTTCTGGCTAATTTTTTTTGTATTTTTAGTAGAGATGGCGTTTCACGATGTTGGCTAGGCTGGTCTCGAACTCCTGACCTCAGGTGATCTGACCGCCTTGGCCTCCCAAAGTGCTGTGATTATGGGTGTGAGCCACCATGCTCCCGTGCCCAGCCAAGAGAAGCTTTGTTTAAACAAACAAACAAAAACAGTATATTGGCCAGGTATGGTGGCTCACGCGTACAGTCCCAGCACTTTGGGATGCCGAGGCACAAGGTCTGAAGTTGGAGACCAGCCTGACCGACATAGCGAAACCCATCTCCACTAAAAATACAAAAATTAGCCAGGTGTGGTGGTGGATGCTGTAATCCCAGCTACTCAGGAGGCTGGGGCAGGAGAATCGCTTGAACCCGGGCGGTGGAAGTTGCATGAGCTGAGATCACACCACTGCACTCCAGCCTGGGTGACAGAGCGAAACTGTGTCTCAAA